CTTTTTTTTTTCTTTTTGGATTTTCTGTAGTAGCTTTTTGGTTTTTTTTTTTTTTTTGGGAGTTTATAATTACGTTGTTTTGTCTATCCCAAATAGAAAGATTCAATCTTTAACCAGTTATTTTATGAAAGCCCTAACTTTTTGGGGTTTTTATTTTTATTTTTTAGATTACAGTGATTCTTCAGAATGACAGAGCCTTCGAAAGTCATTCATGTCCGAAACGTTGGTCATGAGATATCAGAAGTATGCTCTCTCTCTTTCTGTCTCTCTCTTAATGCCCAGATTCTGTAGTGTTTATCGTTTTATCAATTTTTGCAATACCAAAATCGTAAATTGCGTTATTGTTAACAAAAGAGGTAAAGAATAAAGATTGTATGTTGCTAAACAAAAATGTTAAGAATGTTGAAGTAAGTAAGAAGAATGTAAAACATCTCATTTTGACTTTAAATCGAAGAAGTAGGTCCTTAGTTTTCTTTTTGAGTTTGGTAGACCTACATGAGATCATTTTTATTATGGAATTGGAATTTTCAAAGTCGAAAATCTGAAATATTATCTAAAGGTGTTTTAAGTCTCTAAGGAGGGAAGAACTCATTGTTTCATTGAAAGGAAAAATTGAGCGTGTGTTTTCTTTGAGGATCATTAACCGCGGCCTATCATTCATCAACTTCACTTGTATCATGAAAATGCTATTTTTTGCCATTTTTGGCTCAATTTTAATGTATTAATCCACGAAACAAGCTTTTCAATCCTAATGACTTTGTTCTCAATTTGATCCCCTCCATGGTACTCCTTTCAGTGCCCCACTTGGTGAATTTATTTATTTTTTTTAATTTTAATTTTTAAGTTTTACCATTGTTGAAATCCAGCTTGAGTTGATGATTTTTGTGTTAGAATAATATTTTTCTTGATGATATGTGTATCATTGAGAGCCTAGGAAAATCTAGAGGTACGTATGTTGCCAATTGCATAACATTCATTACACATTCACTTGTATTCATAATCTACAAAGATGGATTTCAACAACGGCAACATAGAAAATATTACTCCGAGCTTCCCATCATGTGGGGTATTTGGAAGGCGTTTTTATTAACCGGGAATTTAAATTCAGAAAAGGAAATTAGTTCCTTCAATTATAAATTATGGCGTTTGCTTTTGTATTTGAGAATAAATGTAGTGGGGCCCACCTAAGAAAAGAAAATTTTACTAAACCTGAGACTTGAGATTCGATAACCCTGTTTGTTTCGTGTATTTGGACCCTTTTCGTCCAGTCCGAATGAGTGTTTGATAAGGCATTAAATTCAGATTTAAAACTCAACTAAAATGGAGTTGAATTACCCAATTCTGAATTCACCTCCCTCTTCAATTCGACCAATTCGAACCATATTGAATAGTGCCCCATTTCTTTTTCTCTTTTTCTCTTTCTACTTTATGAAAACTCAAGTTCAAATATGTCATAAATTTTCTTCTCCGATTGAGACGATTTTTCTTTCCACCCCTTCAAAGTGAAAGGAGGAACAAATTTCCATCCATATACCCCATCAAAAATCTGCCATGGACATTGAGGTTTTAAAGATTTGTGAGAAAATCATAAAGTTTTCAAGTGATTGTTTTCAACATCTATCCAAACACATATTCAGATTTTTTCCCTATTCACAGTGAAAGTTTATGTGCATATCCAAATGCTGGTTAAGATCGTAACTCAAATGCTTCTGTTCAGATTTTTCAGTTCCAACAAAAAATATTTAAATCACCATGATCCACACGGACGCAATATATTGAAAAACACATTCACCCACTTAACACCAATTGAGCTAACCCCAATTGGCAAGTGGGACCCACCTTCGTGAACTAAGTTTGTGAATAAGGGGGAATTTAAATCCCATCCACCTCTGGCCTTTTGAACTTTTTCCTAGAAAATAGGGACTAACCAACTTCTTTTACCAATTGTACTTTAACATTAAATTAGTTAGTCCTCCAAACAATGGTATTTTTGTTACCCACTTATTCTTAGTCTAAATCCTTCGAATTCCTCCTTGCGTTAGTAAACGGTGTATTAGGAATTACATTTCTTTGCAACTTAATATCTAATTAGTTTTGTAAACACCTTAATAGAGTTATGGAATTGAACTCTAAGGAACTTAATTCCTTATCTCTTCCAACTTATATCAATTCTTTAAAATTTCTGATTAGTAAAGTAACCTTGCAGAAACCAAGTTGAAAGTCAAGACCAAAGAATGCGTACAGCATGTTTCTAGAATTTATGACATAAAACTTGAACCAAAACAAAGATAAGCCTTTTGATCTTTTGATCTTCTAGCAAAAGTCTCACAAGCTCCCACTCGCTGTCTCTCCTTCACTGCTTCTTTATCCTTTTTGTTTAAAGAAAATTGGGCCTTTGCTCATTTTGTTTGATGTCAAGCCCATCGAATGGCTCTCTCAAGCTAAAGGCTTTGCCGTGTTTTCATTTGCTGTTTTGTTAAGGGTATGAGATTTGTTTTTACAGTAATTAGGACCCTATGGTTCTTGAATGACTATTTCATGGGGTTAGGTTACTGCTTCTGTTTTCTTTTTGTACTAGGCGGACTCCTTGCCCCTGTTGTAAACTTTCTATTTTAGATCTAATAAAGTTTTTTTTTGTTTCTTATGAGAAAAAAATCGGGTGTTTTTGGAAACTTTTCAGAAATTTATTGTTTTAGGTAAACACTTTTTTCATAATACTTGCAGTGTGTAATTATTGAGTCTTGCTAAAGTACAACAAAGTAGCGCTTTTTTCATAATACTTACAGTGTCTAATACTCGAGTCTTGCTAAAGTATAACAAAGTATTTTAGATTTCTGAAAAGACATGCCATACTCGCTAAAATTTTTAAGCTTCATGCGGCAGCACACAGGCTTATTGCAGTGTGTGTCCAATCATTTAAAATGTGCATCTGCAAAGAATTGGTGAAAGCTTGATTCAGAGCGTCATTTTTCTTTGGTGTATGTGTGTGGGCAACATATAAGTTATATGGCATTAGGCGTATGAGGCAAGCGTTCTTTATCTAAATCAAAAGCAAAGCCATGCAATAATAAATGAGGACGATAGCTTATCCTTTTGGAATTCACTAATACTATGCAGTACCATACTTAATGGGGCTTTCTATCCTTGTGTCTCTTATTCATTTCATGTTAAAATGATATGCTTCATTTATTTCAGCCATTCATAAGTGTCACTATGCTCGTGATGCATTCTGTTTTTATTTACTGCACTTTTTTCCTTATGTCCTATATGTATTGTACCAGAATGATTTGCTTCAGCTATTCCAACCATTTGGAGTTATAACTAAGCTTGTGATGCTTCGTGCAAAAAATCAGGTATTTTTTTTTCTCTCTTTTCAATTCAAATGTGGTCTGTAAGATATAAGTTGTTTATATTATAAGGTCAAGCTAACCTTAGATTTAATCTGTAATGTGATATCTCCTGCCCAGGCTCTTATCCAAATGCAAGATATTCCTCCTGCAGTCAATGCGTTACAGTTCTATGCAAATGTTCAACCTGCTATAAGGTACAGCTCTGTTGTGTTACCCTGTGTTGATTGCTCATTGCAATCATCTCGATATGCGGACCTATTAAACAAAAAGTATTTCTCTTTTTTTTTTAAATTTTTAAAAAAGAAAATTTAATTTGTCATTTGTATTTTGGATATCTTTCCATTCTGTACTAGGGGGAGAAATGTTTATGTCCAATTCTCATCACATCAAGAATTAACAACAATGGATCAAAATGCTCAAGGACGAGGAGATGAGGTTGGCACCTTCTCGGCGTGTGTTATCACTATTATTATTGTTTTCTTGGTAGATGTGGGTGGATTGTTCTATTATCTTTTGATTTTTAAATATTTTTTTCTTCAAGGTTCATTTTTTTCCCCACTATCTCCAGTGATAATACAATTGAGTAATTGGTAGATGGGTACCAAGAACTGTTAAAGTATAAAATTATTGTTGGCCCACTTCCTAACAGCTTAAGCTTTTGGGATGAATTGGTAAACTAACATGGTATCAAAGCGGGAGGTCCTGAGTTCAAACCCCCGTAATTGCACTCTTTATCCCTATTTAAACTTGTCATGTGTTGGATCTTTAATATATCTCGGGCTTAAATATTCACGTGTTGGGCTTTCTAATTAATTTGCCCACACGATTGTCCATTGTCCAGCCCACACGTGAGGGGGAGTGTTAAAGTATAAAATTATTGTTGGTCCACCTCCTAATAGCTTAAGCTTTTGGGATGGATTGGTAAACTAACAAGAACATTTACTAAAAACTTTTAAACAATAATGTGCCAAGGACCAAGTATATAAAAGCACTAGTGCAGAATCACCAACGCTAGCTATATTTTCTCTCATCGAACTTGTCTTTTCTTCTTCTTAAATATGCTTTCCATATTTCATTTTGCTCTTTCCTTCCTATATCTTTTCTTTCTATTTATTCTCTTCTCTCCCTCTGTCTCTATGCTGGTCTGCTGTGGGGGACTGTCTGGATGCACAGCCAAACCGAATCCTCTTAGTTACAATTCATCACATGCTATATCCTATAACAGTGGAAGTGCTGCATCAAGTGTTTTCCCCTCATGGGTTTGTGGAGAAGATTGTAACATTTCAGAAGTCAGCTGGTCAGCTTCTTCAAGTTTTCTTCCTTTGTCTCTATATCTCTCTCTTCTCTGCTTTTTTGGGTTTAACTCGAACTTGATCAACCGCTGAATGCATTATTGTGTTTGCCTCATTGGATAGACATATTAAATTCATTTCTTGCTTGACCTGCTTTTGGTGCTGTAGCAGTCTTGACAAGTTCAGATTTTCATTTTATGCTGTGGAGTATAAATGCCTTAAGAAAAATCCATGTCTTCTTTTAGATTTTTCAACAAATCTTTCATTGGTTTGTAGTGCATTTTCACTCCTCTTTTTTTCTTTTTCTTTTTGGTTGCAATTCTGTAGGTTTTCAGGCTCTCATTCAGTATCAATCACGGCAGAGTGCTGTTGCAGCTCGAACTACTCTGCAGGTATTACTCAAGTTTATTTTTTAAGTTAGTTGTAATGGAGGCTTTGTTTGTTTGGGTTGTTTGGTTTCTAAAAGTGATTTTTAACACTCTTGGTACTTTATACTTTGTAGGGACGCAATATTTATGATGGCTGCTGCCAATTGGATATTCAGTTCTCAAAGTAGGTTTTGAATCTTCTTAAACATTTGTTCTAATTCACGCAAGTGCAGATGCTTTTTTCTTTTTTGCCTCTTGTGATGGAATATATATAATTTTCATATTCAAATTCCAGCCTTGACGAGTTACAAGTGAACTACAACAATGAGCGTTCAAGGTAGGTTTCGACCTCATGGACTCAATTAATTTGCTTCTATTTTTGCTACTGAATTAACTTTTTTGTTTCTTTCTCCTACTTGCCTAGGGATTTCACAAACCCTAATCTGCCTTCAGAACAGAAAGGAAGATCCTCACAACAAGTAGTTTTCATTGTTCTTCCTTTTGTTTCTTTCGGTTTCCCCTTTTTCAAGTTTAAAATTCATCGTTGTCAATAATTCTATTCTGTTCCATTATGCTACAGTCTGGATATGGTGATGCAGGAAGCATGTATGGCATTCAACCTTCGGGTGCTAGGGGAGGTGCTGAATTCTCATCTTATATGCTTATGGTTCTTTGTTTTTTGTGCTTTACATTCATGTACTGACGTCATTTTTTTGGTTCTGCTGTCTTCCAGTTGCATTTCCGCAGGTGGGTATTGGTCTGCTCAGGCTATGTTGATTTTGTTTTGGACATGATTCAAGCTTGAGGAGGCTATTTTATGTTTGTGCATGGAAAAATTTTGATCACCTGAAGGCTATCCTCTACTTTCTCCTTTTCTCTGATTTTGAACATCTATGTTGCAATGTTCTTGGAGCCTTGCCTTATCTGTTTGTTACCTTGTATTTTGTACATTTTATCAACTAGTTGGAGATACTTGCATTTTCCTTTCTTTTCTATTCCTTGTTTGGTTGTGGGGGTTTCTAGTAAGGGGTTTGGGATCAATGGCTGACGCCTTTATCTGATACCATTTGGATGATATGATGAAATTGCAAATGTCATCATTTGTTTGGTTGATTTTTGTAACATAAGTATTTTGCTCTTACTTCTCTGTCCATTAATCTGTCAGTTCATACATGTCTATATCCGTCTTATTCATACAACTAAAAGTTTCCTCTCTCTCTCTCTCTCTCTCTGAAATGTAGATGGCAAATGCAGCGGCTATTGCTGCAGCCTTTGGTGGAGGTTTACCTCCTGGTATAAGCGGGACAAATGACAGGTGTACTGTCCTTGTCTCCAATCTAAATCCTGATGTAAGTCATTTTTCATTCTTCATCTTCGAAAACTAGAAGGTTTAGGAGTTTAGGTTTCTAGTTTTCATGGTTGGCACTTTCTTTATTTCAGAGAATAGATGAGGACAAGCTGTTTAACCTGTTCTCCATCTACGGAAACATTGTGAGAATTAAACTTCTCCGAAACAAACCCGATCATGCGCTCGTTCAGATGGGTGATGGCTTTCAGGCTGAATTGGCAGTGCACTTTTTGAAGGTTTGGTTTGTCTGAAACTCCTCTAGTTCATTATACAAGATATTAGTTATTGGATGTCAAATGTGTTTAACCTATCAAGCGACAAAAGCTTTCAAATTTCGTTTACCGATTGAGCACATACACAATTGAATGTCTGTGCAAAAAGACACCCACATTTTATTGTAAATGAAACTTTACCAATCGTGATCAATGTTAATGGTATGACTTTCTGTAGTTGTGAACTAGAGTTGGTAGAACTTGGCAACAAGAGATAGTTATTGGGTTTGTTGCCACACCTGCCTAATTTCTTAAACAGGAGATTGGTCTGTAGTTTTGGTTGGTTCAAATGATTCCTTATTTTAATAAGAGATATGATTATTACTTTCGGTACGTAGTCTTGTTTTGTGGTAATCTAGTTTCTTTAAACTTCTAAAATATTCCGTTGAAATTGATCAAAAAAATAAATATTTGCAAGTCAACCTTGTGCTTGAATGGTTTGAGTCCATCTTCTTTCTGAATATTGTAACAGGGTGCAATGCTCTTTGAGAAGCGATTGGAGGTCAACTTCTCGAAGCATCCCAACATAACTCAGGGTGCTGATACGCACGAGTACATGAACTCTAATCTCAACCGCTTCAATCGTAATGCGGCTAAGAACTACCGCTATTGCTGTTCCCCGACAAAGATAATTCACATATCCTCTCTTCCCCAGGATGTCACCGAAGAGGAGATTGTGAACCACATGGAGGAACATGGGCCTATTGTCAACACAAAGGTCTTTGAGATGAATGGTAAGAAGCAGGCGCTGGTAATGTTTGAAAGCGAGGAGCAGGCAACTGAGGCTCTTGTCTGCAAGCATGCTAGCTCACTTGGCGGGTCAATAATCCGCATCTCCTTTTCCCAGTTGCAGACAGTATAAGAACCTTACAGTAATGGAAAATAACAGGAGCAAGGATTCTTATTAAGCACAATATTTGGAGCTGACGGTCTCCTGTGCTGTCACTTATCTTGTAAGGGTGGTTTCGATTGCATTTGTATTGGCGGGATCCGCTCTTTGATTTGCTTTTACTAATCTCTCTTTCAACTTTTTATGCTTTTATTGATTATTTATTAGGTTTCTTAATATTTGGGGTTAGGTCTCAAGTCGCGGCGGTGTTCAGTTTTGAAGAGTAGGAAGAGTTGCCTATTTTTTTCATCCTTTTGGGTCTAGCATAGAGTAGAGTGATCACTTGTGTATCCTGGTTGTATCTCTTCTAATTGTGGCTAAAACCCAGCCATCTCTGTTGTATTTGCAATCCGCTAGCCATATTTGTTCCACCCATTTGGTACTTGTGCCATGCTTGTAAATTTTTCCTTCTATTTCTTCTCCCACCCTCTCCCTCCCCCTCCCTCCCTTCATCCTCCTCTTTGCTCTATAAAAGATTTGAGAACTTGGAAATATGGTCTGAATATCATTCTGTCTGCCCTCTCTTCTCTTCTCTTCATCTTCTCCTCTCCTCTTTCTCCCTTCACCTGAAAGGTGACAAATGTGTAAATGGATGAATTTTATTATTGTTGTTTTCTCCCTCCACCCACGCTTATGTGCGGTTGTATTTTCTTCTCTCCCACCCCTCTACAACCGGAGTCATCCGTGAACATTTTCTTTGTTGGACCTTTCTTTTATTGTGAAAGTGAGAAGAGGGTTAAGGATTATAGCAATTAGCCCAGCGCAAATTTATGAAATGTTTCATCGCCTGGCGAAGGACCGGTTTCATTGGTGTCGCTCTAGTTTGTCGTCGCTTTGCTCGGATGCTTCCTAGATTCCCAGGCGATGAGTGCCCATCTTCGTATATCTTAGGCGACGTTTGTTGTTGCTTTTGCGTGTACAATGACGTTGACTCTGATATGCAAGGTTGCTAATCGAGCTCCCAGCCACCCAAAAGCACCACCATCTTGTGCATGACCACCCAGTTGCTCAGCATCGCAGCCATCCCTTGCATGATTATCCGCCTACAACCACAGCCATGTCGCCAAGTGCTTAGCTGCTTGGAAATGTCGTTTATCTGCTCATCATAGTCGACCACCTGACTCCACACTTAACCCAAAAAGTCCCCAACAAGCCCAAAGTTGTTGAGTGCCCAACTGCGAAGAGTTGCTATGGACTTGCAAACAACACTGAGTGCCCCGTATTAAAGGCCGCCCCAATGATGCGGTGACTTGCGCCTAGAACCATAAGCACCCAATCATTCATATGTCGAGCTACTTGCTCCACCCAATGCCCCTATTAGTAAACTTGCAAATGGACCATTAGTTTATACGGAAATAGTAGAAAATATGCCAATATAAAAAGTTTAAGGAAGTATATAGGTCAACTTTTAGTTATAGAAATTAATAGGCCATAACTTATCAAGTTATGGTTCATAACCAGATAAATTATGGATAAATTTAATTTTAATTCATCTCAAGTCTTGACCTATTTCTTTCTTTCTCCCTAATTTATACTATCAAAATTTTAGCATGATAGCATAAGGGCGAAAAATGATCTATTAAGATCTTCTCATTTAGTAAGAAACTTTTTAATATTAAGAAAACAATTTTATATTAATTGAAATAAATTGATTCCCATAATTTGTAATTAAAAAAAAGAATTTCAGAGTTTATATGATGGGATAAGAAAAAATAAGTTGCCAGTAGTTTTTGATTTTTAAGTTATTGAATCTGTATCAAAAATTATTTATTTTATATATATATTTTTTATAATATATAATTTTGACACGATTTAACAATTAAAAATTGACACTATCCTAAGTCACGTTATTTTTTTTTTTTTGCTATTTATACTATTTTGTTTTTTGCTATTTATACTATTTTGTTTTTTGCTATTTATACTATTTTGTTTTTTGCTATTTATACTATTTTGTTTTGACAAAGTAGAAAATCATATCCTTTCGATATCTTTCAATAGTTTTTATATTGATTTTGTGGGTGTTGGTTGTTTTTAATTTTTATAAGCCATCAATGGATTCCTCAGGTATAATTCGAATATGTCATCCATTTACACTCAGAGTCAGACCCACTCAGAAAACCAATTCCCTTTCTAATCCCAGAAGAAACACCATTTCTATTTTCAGAATCAGAAGCAGGAGCATTCGAAACGACGCCGCATTCGACGAGGCGGCGTACGAGGCAGAGAGGCTCAGCCTGGACGCCAAGGCTCGAGAAACAATGGCGGAGAAGTCAAAGGGAGAGATTGATAAAGAAGAAGAAGATTCAAAAGCTTGGAAATGGGTGATTCGAAAGAGGATTTGGGATTTGATGGAGGCCACGAATGTTGCTCAGAACCCTCGACCTGTTCACCATCGCATTCCCAATTTCCTCGGAGCTTTTTCTGCTGCTGATAAGGTCTCAATCATATGCTACCTAATAATTTTTTCAATTTAATGGTTAGTGAAGAGATTGTTACGCCACTTAATTTAACATTTTTAACTATAGTATCTAATTACTTTGTTACCCATTATTTCATCAATCATATACTACTAATCACTACGCAAGATATATTATAATGCTAATTTAAACTTATTTTATTAGCACTTAAGCCCATTAAGTTTGTTGTAGTCTGTCATTTTTGTCCCTGAAATTATTTTTCAAATAGTTTAGTCCTTAGGCTTACAAAATAGTAACAATTAACTCCAATTATAAGTGAGGCTAAACTTTGAACAGAAGTATAATTGTAGTTTTGTAGAACATGGGCCCATGAAATTCTTGTTGTTTGACACTTTTATCCGTGGGTTTAATTAATTAATTAATTATTTTCTTTTAGCAGTTTAGTCCTTGAATTAGTCTCGGAGTTCTTAAAAAGTAACGTCCATTAATAATTACAGACTTACAGTGAATTGCTACTCTTTTGAAAATTCAACAGGAAAAATTACCAAGAAAAAAAAAAGAGTGAAAAATTAGTTGCAGAAGTGCTAAAAACAATACATTTAATAAAGATAAACTCATTATTGATCTAGTTCTGAATCTGATTATGTAGTGATTGTGTGGCAAAATTTTGATAGAGGGACTAATCTGATTATGACACGAAAAATACTAATTTGAGAGCTTAAGTGACATGTTCAAAAACTTAGGGATCAAAATGTGCCGTGGTTAGTAATTGAATATGGTTGCCAAGGAGGAACAAAATAGAATATACTTTTGAATGAAAGCTAATTAACTTTGTTTGATGCCTGTGTGGTTTGGCAGTTTGGTGGATTGGAAGCGTATAAGGTTGCTGAATGCGTGAAGGTTAACCCGGATTCGCCTCAGAAGCAAGTCAGGTTTCTCACACTCTCTGGTTAGTTAGTGTTACAATAACTATATATTGATGATGATGCTATTTGTTATCCATAGTGGTTGTAGTATTATGAGGAGTAAGAAAGAAAAAAAAAAAAAAGAGCATGATCATGGGGAAATGTATAATGGTAGTATGGTCACTATATATGTGTAAAGCTAAACATTGACGAGCACTAGTGTCCCACGTATACCTTTGTCTCACATGCCCCCATTGAGACTCTAGAATACTAATTTTTATATTTATATTCTGTATGAAATTTCAGTTAAAACCCCAATTGTTAAAAACAGTTATAACTTAGCCACCACTAAATAATAGAAATTTGCAACTATGTTTCTATTCTAATAATAAAAATAGAAATTTGCAACTATGTTCCTATTCTGATAATAAAAACAGTTATGTTTTTCTTATTGTGCCCCATTGATTTTGGTTTTGTTTTTGTTTTTGTTTTTGTTTTTTTGTTTTGTTTTGTTTTTTTTTTTTTTTGGGTGACTCTGCCACATTGTTCTGCAACGTAATTGGTATTCCTCAGCATTGGTTTTGCAGACTATGCTTTTCTACTAGAGTTATTAGTCTATCAGGAACAAAGCTTAGAAGCTGAAGCTGGCAAAACTGTAGATAGTAAAATGAAAAAAGTAGGTGATTTAGGAGAGGTATCAGATTCCCTAAATGAAAAATGGAATCTCGACGGCCGTCTAAATCTGTACAATTCGATTAATATTAGTGTTTAAAGCACTATATGAGGGTCTAAATTGTGTATTTGAACTTGCAAGCCATTGAGTTGAAAAATTACTTGATCCTATTTAACCTGAGTTAAACTTAGAAAAGGGGAGAAATAACTGGCTAGTTAGCAAAACTCCCTTTATGGTTCCTTTTTTGTTTGTTTGAGAGAATCCAATAAATATATGATTTCTGTATTATTTTTCGTTTCATTACCTTATTGTATCTCAAATCAGTAACATCCACTGTTTTCATTTTTTTTAAAATGATGACGAACTGGAACTTTTGACTACCTTGGCTATACTTCATTTGCAGATGGAAAGAAATTGTTGACTCCTCAACCCAGGTTAAGGACCGGATTTTTCTCCATACTCGAGTCGTCTATGTTATCCCCTAATACAATCAAAGAGGCTTGCACCTCTGTTGGAGTTGCCAAGTATGGACGCCCAATTGGCTTGGATGAAAAACTCAAGGTGGATTTAATAGTTATTGGCTCAGTTGCTGTTGATCCAACGACTGGAGCTCGACTTGGCAAGGGCGAGGTAATTTAAACGCAACATTGCTTTCTTTACAGTTTGGCCCAACAATTGGATGAATTCTTAGCAAGGATGACTTTCTTGATGAATTTTCTAATTAAAAATATTGCGGTGTAGGGATTTGCGGAACTTGAATATGGTATGTTGCGATACATGGGAGCTATTGATGAGTCAACACCAGTTGTTACCACTGGTATGTGCAACGCCATTTTTTTTTTCATGCATGTTATGAATTATGAAATTCTTGAATGGCTGGTACATAAAAATGCGGTAAATGTCATTGTATTTAGGGCTTGCTTGCTTTGCTTCTAGCTTGTGGTACAGGCGAGTTCGGTTATGCCTTTCTGTTCAAAATTCTCATGGCAGATTAGCTTTCCTGCCCAAAAGTTTAAGAAATTAATTTAAACTATAAACTATGTGATCGGAAAACGAAGTATGCATCACCAAATATTACTCTTCACTAATTTAACTTTTACAATGCTGCATATGACTTATTTTCTGTAATTGTTTTTCCTCAAGGCTTTGGTTTTTCTATTTACACTGCGCTCAATTTGAATTTTGTTGTAGTGCACGACTGTCAATTAGTAGATGATATTCCAGTTGAGAAGCTGCTAATCCATGATGTGCCAGTAGATATCATCTGCACCCCAACTCAAGTGATTTTTACCAATACGTCGATTCCGAAGCCTCAAGGTTGGTGAAGTTTGCGATTTTGTCTATTCTTTATCTCTTTTCGGATCATAATTCTCCGAAAAGAGTTTTAAGGAAAACTTTTAGGATTTGTCAAAGATGATTGAATGGGGTTTGAAGAGCTGATTGTTTCAGAATTTTGGGTTTTTAGCATGTGTCTCTTTCTTGTGGTTATACACTTTCGAGTAAATTGATAAGAAAAATGATCAAAGCAAAAAAGGAGGAAAATGTCAAACCACATGAAAATAAATGAAGCACAAGTACTAAAAAGGCTAAATTTTTTTCCGGGAAAAAAATAAAAAACAAAATAAAGAAGGCTAAAATTTTAATATAGTGAAAAACATTGAGCGCGTTTAGAACTTATTTCAAAATGATTTTTGTTTTTTGTATGAAAATGAAAATGAAAATGTTTTCAATCTCAGGCAGAAATCATTTTTGAAAATGCGTTTGGTAATTTTATCAAAAGATTGTTTTCAGTATAAAAAAATCTATTAATGTCTATGTTTCTTTTTCTCTGCACAAGAGAGGAGAAAACAAAAACAAAAAATGAAAAACGACTAAAAGTCGTTTTTCATTTCTCTCTCATTTTATACTAAACTAAAAGATCGTTTTCATTTTCATTTTTTGTCTTTATTGCGCTAAACGCCGTTTTGGAAACGTTTTCATTTTTTTTTTCTTGAAAAATAAAAACGGGATCAATTCCAAACACGGCCATTGTGTTCTTTTGATTTCCCTCTTTCAGTAGAAAATTCATTGATATGTATGAGGATACTAAGTATGAGCTAGTTATTAGAAAACCAGTCTGTTGTGTTTTATAAATTATAATAGATGTGTTGATTGTTGCTAAGATAGGAATATATTGGGAGAAATTGTCCCCTGAGAAGCTGGGGCAAATCCGAATACTCCGAGAGCTGAAGACCAGAATCGAACGAGAGACGGGACAGAAGCTTCCATGTGGTCCGTCTGAGAAACTGCCTCCCACAGCTCAACGAAGAAGACGCTGAGTTTGTTGAACGTAACAGTTAACACACACAAGTTATGTTTTGGCAGCCATAGCCAGCCAGTACTTGGTACACTTTTTGGTTGCCATTGTATTGTTGTTGTTACGTGTTTTGTGTAAAATTATATTGTTTATAAGATGTAAAAATTATGTAGAGTGAGTCCTTATACAAAAGAATATTTTTCTTTCTTACCATTTTATTATTATTATTATTATTATTGGTTTGAGTATTTTCTATTTACATTTTGGGATCTTCGTAATTTCTAGAATTTTTTTTTTTTAATTTAATTGTGTGGGGGGTGAAAGTGAAAAGGAAAATCGCTAGAGGAAGGGCTAGAACCTTCGACCTTGTGGTTAACAGCCACACGCTCTAACCAACTGAGCTACTCCAGCTTGTTTAGTTTGATGATGTAATTTATTACACTTATTTTAAGGCTTTTTGGCATGGGACCCTATTCAACTTTTCGAGATTGGCAGATTAGTCCTTAACGTTTTTTTTTTTGCAATCACCTCCTTAACGTTTGAAATACGTTGCAATTCTGGTCCAATCGGTAACGTCCGTCACATTATATACGGTTTTAACATGTGATTCGAACGTGAGGTCTCTTTTAAGGGTATTAAATGCTTTAAAAGTAATAAAGAATGAATAAATATAAAAAAAAAATTAAAACATTAAAAAAAAAAAATCAACAACTCAGCAACCCCATCCCTCTCCCTCTCACCTTCGATCAACAAAAGCCAGATTCACAAAATTTTACCCGTGCAGCAAAACAAAAATAAAAATAAAAATAAAAATCTCATTGTTGGGTTTCTTGCTCATACAGCCTCCCATTGCATAGGCTTTCTCAAATCTAAAAAGAAAGAAGAGAAAGAACAACAAAAGCCAGAAAGATAAGTTTACAGATTGTCAAATAATGAGCTTGAGACTCAATGATATATATAAAAAGATAATTTTAAAAGAATGCACCGAACCAAGACAGCCTTTAAGGGAGAAAAAAAAAAAATTTTCCCCTTTCAACCGCTTTTTTCTGGCAAAAATCACAAAAGAATACCCAGAAATGAAAATCTGTAGATCACAATCAAAAGGAAAATCCTTGAACAACCCAGAAAACCTTGTTTTCAGATCTCTCTCTTTTCAATTCAAACAAAAACCAAAGCCAGAACATCAAAAACCAAAACCAGAACATCAAAAACCAAAACCCCTCTCTCGTGTTTTCAGATCTCTCTCTCTCTCTCTCTCTCGTTCAAGCTCATGAACCCCCCATCCAAAGTTCATCAATCTCAAAAACCCAATTCCAAAACAAACCCAGTTCGTCCCTCACCTCTCAAATCCTCGGTAGGGACGGCGCTGCGATTTCGAAAATCTAGCTGGGGCGGGGTAGTGGGCTGCTGCGACGGCGTCATCTGGCAAGGAAAACCCAGAAAGCCCAACGAAGCTTCCAGATCCGCCCCATGGATTTTGATGGGGTTTCTTTGAAACTTCTGGATATTTGGATTTGATGGGGTTTCTTTGAAACTCCTAGAGATTCAGAAACCCTCTCTTTCAGAATTCAGTGCATCCGTGGTTTTTTTTTTTTTTTTTGGTGTTGATCTGATTTTGTTTTTGGTCTGAAAATATTGATTCTCATGTTGTGTAGTGAAAATTTATTTTTGATGGGGTTTCTTTGATTGTCATATTGTGTAGTGAAAATTTATTTTTGATGGGGTTTCTTTGATTCTCATGTTGTTCAGTGAAAATTTATGATTCTGATTGTCAGATTATTTGGTTTTCTCAGAGCTTGCAACAATTTCTTTGATCGAAGATGAGAGAGAGAATGGGGTAGAGGGAGATGGAGTTGCTGAGTGATTTTTATTTTTTTTAATGTTTTAATTACTTTTTTATATATTTATTCATTCTTTATTACTTTTTAACCATTTAACACCCTTAAAAGACCTCACGTGCCAATCACATGTCAAAACCGTACACAATTTGACGGAACTTTTATAAGGAATAAAAAAAAAAGAAATTAATTCCATTGAGAGGCAAGATCAAATAACTAACCTGCTCAATTGAATCAGAATTGCAAAGGTTTCAAACATTAAAGAGACGATTGTAAAAAAAATAAAAATTAATCTGTTAATCTCGAGAAGTTGAGGAGGTCCCATCCCAAAAGGCTTTATTTAAATCATACATTTTAATTTTTAGGGGCTAGCGATCTCCTATTGTTGTTTGTTGCCACCATCTTTGATGGAGTTGATGTATGTAGCAAGAACGTAATATCGGGCGCATCCGTATAGATTTAAGTGTAATTTTAATAATTGCTCTTATATTTACCTATTAATATTTACCTATTAATGAGTATAATTAACTGAAGATATTGATCCAACATTTACAATAAATTAAATAGTTAACTAAAAAACTTTATAATAATTAATAAAATTAAATTTATATCATGCTATACCGTCAAATTTCTATATTTAACAGATAACTATTGAAAAGATAATCATAAAAAACTCGTCATATATATTTTTTTCTTAATCAAGTGTTAAGGCGATCACTTTCTTCTTTCTGTTTCGTTAGGCGTCACAGTTGTGCTAACGTTGAAAGAAAAAAAGGTTATTTCTTTGTTGATACAACAATTACTAAGCCTATACTTTCGGGAGAGAGAGAAAGAGAGAGAGAGAGCAGACTATACATATAGTTTCGGCCAAGAAAAATAGCCCAGTTCGGAAGATTTGCATGTAAACCTGAAGGTCTTTTCCATGAAGTAGGTAATATATGCTTTAGGATAAAGAAATCTATTTCCATGTAAAGCTGCACTTAACATGCTTATCCACCTGCAAAAATATGTAATGATGCATGAAGAGTAAGAGCAAGAAAACCAAGATAAACACATCAACTTAATTTTGTCTTTCAAAAGTTAATTATAACAACGAGGAAGCTGTCGACTCACTCACCTATTTCTTTGTATTTGATTATTTATTTTGTTCAGAGGGACATTATTCTGTTTAGAGGAATCCTTTCACTTTGATGATGAGGAATCCTTTCGATCGGAGAAATCACCTGTGGCATCGTCATACCGACTGAAACTATGATCTCTGCATAATAGAGGCAAACAAGGGGAAAAAAAGTAAGATAATCACGTAATGATCCGTGTGTGTTTAACGCAGGCAAAACAAAGGAAAAGGCAGAGAAGAATAAGCTATAATTTTTGGATGATTGCTACTCGCTCATGACTAAAATGGAAGAAAATGAAATGCAAGTGAAAGGAAAATCCAGGCAAATGGAGCGGTGCTAAAAAAACTCCGCCGACTTCAAAGGAAAAGCATAAAAAACATCACAAAGAATCATGCTTTCCCATAAAATACCAGTCAACAAGAAGCCTCTTGCTTTCTAAGGAAATGATGAGCTTATATTTTAAGCAAGCCAATTTGGGAAAAATCAGAGTCAACACCAGTACTTTTGTTTTCCATTCTTCTTCCAATGGAAACAAATCTATGGTATGAGATTGCAATCCATCCTATATTACATTTCAAAACATGGTCCATCCTCTCATCTACTACTCGCCCTTAAGAATCCAATTAAAAGGAATGACTACTACAAGTATGACGTCCCATTCTTGATCTTGTACTTCTCAAATGGACATTCCTTATCAATGCACTAGACCATCGTTAATCCCCGTCAAAAGAGATATGTTGCTTCTTAGCCAAGTCACTAGTAAAAGCTCAAGAAAGACTTCTGTGGAAGGCAAAGACCTTCATCACTGTTATGCCAAAAACCTCAGGTCTCTTGGTAAGGAGAGTGCTGCATCTTTCATTCTATAGGTAAATTAAAAATAGAAATCCGAACCTTTTGAAGTGTCTTTTATGTAAGGTGGAATTATAAATATGCAACACACACTACATAGTATGCAAGAGCATCTTGGCAAGGATAGGAAACATCAATTAAAATGTGGTGAAAATATCGGGAAGAAATGGAAACAAACCTATCCCTTCTCGGATAGACAAATTTGGCCGTATGATTTCTTCAGAATTCACCAGAAAAATATCACCGATGTAGAGGTGATTTGTCGGGACATAAACACTGCACAATTCCTCATCTCCATCATCTCTCTGAATCAAACTCCAATTTATCAGATGATAAGAAGACCATATGCACTATATCAATTATGCTGTAAAATAAGAGAAATTCAGCATAGAAAAATCCGCTGCGGCTAATGTAATCAGCTCATTCATCATATGGCAACAGGAAAAATCAATATCCATCGTCAATGACGTCAGTTATTGAAAACAGTAATTAACAAATTTTTTAGAATTTTAAAAATCTAGTTTGGAAATTTCAAGCAAAATCAGCAATCTTTTTCTTCTCATTCCCAAATATAAATACTGATGATTTTTTTCTACCAAAATTTTTCCCTTTAAAATAATATACCAGTCATTTAATAAGCAGTCTGTTTTAGTCATTTCAAAAAATTACTCAAGAAACAGACTAGTTCTCATAACTTTTTGATTTCTCCATAAGATGATTTGTCTTTCATCTTCTGCGTCCTCTACATATTGATGTTTTCTAACTACTTAAGAAGCTGTGAAATAATGACACACCACTTGCTAAAGAAAAAATAATAATAATAACAATGCTACACATGTTCACAGTAATAACGATGCTACACATGTTCACAGTCTCATACATGAAATATTTTTCTTGTTCAAAATCCCGCTCATCAGTTGGTCATATCCACAAAACTTCTATTTAAAAATGTCACTAAAATGAAAAAGACAAAAGACATTCGATAAGATGCTGAGATTTAATTTAAAAAAAAAATAAAGAGGACAAACAATAGTAGCTGTTTCTAAAAATGACCAAAAGGGGACCGGGTAATTTACCTGGAGAATTACTGATGATGTGATGAAACCGATTGCATATTCACCAATTCTAGGATGACGGATAATTGCAACCTCTTTGAAAGCCGTGGTATTTTGGTCTGTTTTCCAAAGGTAAATAATTAGTTAGTATTTCTTAACACGTTGGACATGGACGGAAATAAAATTACTTAATCATTCAATGTCATACAGTCCGACTCCGACAAGGTTAAGCACAACATCAATAGCACAAGCGGCAACATTAAAAGCTGAATAAAACCTTTCAATTTCATAGGGAAATTTATCCATGAAACATCACATGAATTTTAGTCATGTAGAAATATCTCCACTTTAAACTATGTTTCTAACGTCAATACTTAAATGACACGGCTTTTGGTACATCAAAATTATTAGTCAAAAACTCATACGTCTGTAAAGTTTCCAAAGCCAACAACCCCCAGATTCTAAGCATTTTGAATTCCAAGATCACATCAGAGATCTTAGACAATCATAAAAGGGATGTTTGCAACATCTACTACAAGACAAATAAAATTAGTTCAAAATGGAACTAGAGACTAAAAAAACTACTAGAGACTAAAAAAACTAGGAGTACCAGGAGAGATTGCGGCACTAATTTGTTTGGAGGCTGAGTAAATGTGCTTCATAAATGGCATTCTTTTAATAAACCATTCGCCCAGCCAGAAAACAGTGGCACCCATCCACGACGAAGCAAATATACCAATTAAGAATAAAAATAGTAGTGACGTAATAAATCCAAGGCCTGCAACAAAAGGAAAAAAGAAAACATAGAGAAAAGAATGAGATTTGTTCACTCATCAAACAAATAGCAGTTTGAAGAAAGAAAACTAGGAACATTAGTGGTTTCACTTGATTGTTTTACCTAACTTAAACTTCGGCATGACCATGCAGATTTACATTAGTGATTATATCCCCTTCTCTTTGTTTCTTTAAATGGTATTTATTTGGCTAAAATAAGTCTTGTAAGTTGAAAGGTAACTTCAAAAGAATCTGTGCACGAAGGTACTTAGAACCATTTCAAGAGATTTAAAAACATGAGCAAGTCAAAAAACAAACTCATGAACCAAAATCTCGTTGGCAGTTTCTTTTGTTTATTCATAAATCAGGAGCACTTGTGTAAACTTTTAAGCCTAACAGACTGAAGATTCAAGAATACTGTTATAAAAGAAAATGACCAAAACTACTACCTAGTGATGATTCTCAGTACTCTTACCAAATATTTCAATCCCAAGTCTGGCATATATCGGACTGAAGAAGCCATCTACAAACTGAATAAACCACCATGTGATGAAGAAAGTAACAGCGACAGGAAAAAGAACCACACTGAAAAGTCACCAAACAAACCTCGTCTCATTATGGAAAATCTAGATAAAATTCTGAGAACATAAAAGGCACAAGAAATAATGAACGATCCAAACCATGCACATTACCATCCAGTCATGAACTTCTTCGAGACCCAACTTTGAAGAACAGCATAACAAGCCTGAAAAAAAAAATAATAATAATGCAAGAGTCAATTTGATTTCAATTAATTAAGGGCTTGTTTAGTGAAGGGCTATAATGGGATCATTTATTTCCTTTCTAGTGTTTGTTTACCTATTACCAAGTGGAATTGGGCACAGTCCAATTCCTTTTCTAGTGTTTACCTACTAACTTTAGGAATACTAATCCTAATAGCTTAACTACTAATATGTCAGTATGCTGCTATGCATAACACATAATGCCAGTTATTTTTTGATTTATTCCAATTTAAAGGGAAACAAAACCAGGGGATAACTTGAGATATGTTTTTCTTTCTCATTCCCTGCATTATGTAAACCCCACCATTTCACAATTTCTCATACTCTAAACACCCCTTTCTCTTTCTTGTTAATTAAACATGCCCCAAGTAAATCGGTATAAGACACTTTCTAAAAAGCAAAAAAAAGAAGTAAATCGGTATAAGAAAGAATTTTTCCAAATCGGAAATAATTAAATAAATGAAGAAGGTTTCAAAATTAGCTGAGAGTAAAGCAGAATAACTGCTGATTTGAAGTCTAATATTATGTCCTAAACAATAAATTTATCATAATCTGCTAATCAAGTAACAGGTACATAAATGTTGGATCTGAGTAAAACCAACAACTAACGTACACTAAGTTAACAAGAAATTAAATTAAATTGCAATGAAAGACTTGATATTAACAATCACCAGTTGACAGAGAGAGACCGAATCGAGTAAAAATTAGACTTTTAGAGAGAAAGAGAGAGAGACGGACCTTACGAGTGGAGGAGTTGGGGGAATTAGGGGGAGACTTGGATTCATCTTCGGAGTCGACTTGACCTTGACTAAGCGGAACAGAAGTCGACTCTTTAGCTTCCGCCATTTTCTTCTTCTCTGTGAAGCTCGTAAAACCCTAAAACGCAGAGACGAAGAAGAGATTGGAGAGAGATTAGGGTTTGCGAAGAGAGAGAAAGTGGTCTCTTTGTCTGTGAGTAATGGTAATGGGTTTTGTTTTTTCCTGTTTCGGTTGGTTCAGTTATTTGCTTGTCGGAGGTTGAAAATTAGGGGGCGGCGCTCTGTTTGGATGTGCCGATTACAGTACGCCCTTCTCACGGATAAGGACTATTCTGCGCCACCCTTGGCTTCTCCTCCCCATTATTTTGAACTCGTTTGAAGTAAGGATTCGTGCTGTAATTCGAATCATAATTCGTAGTTTGTCACAGTATTTTTTCTCATAAAAATACACATAAACTGAAAATGATTCTGAATTATAATTCTAAACTCATAAACTAAACGTCCACTTAGCTATTAACAAGACACATGATTCGCAGATTTTAACACATAAAAGAAAATGGAAGAAAACATAACAAAAAGGTTAATTGATCTATGAGGTTTACTCTTAATTTTACTATGGTTTCTTACTTTTAAAATGTCTTACAGAGGTTTAGTTTTAATCTTTTTGTCAGTTAAGTGTTAAATATTTAACGAAATCTGTAAAATAAAAGACCAAAATTAAAAACATCTAAAGTTTAAGGATTAAAACAATACAAAAAATAAAAGTTAATTTCTAAAGATAACCCTTAATTTTAGTTGTTTCTAATTTTGGTCCCTAAATTACACTTACTCCGTCAAATATTTTTAACACCTAGTTAACAAAAGAATTAAAACTGAAACAGAGTAAAACCTTATAGACCAACTGTAAGGCATTTTTAAAGTTAAGGATTAAAGTAAGATTGAGGGTAAACCTCATAGACCATTTGTAAAATTACCCTTTAAAGTGCATGAATATGGACTTATACCCCCCACTCTTAATTAATATATTTCTTCATCAAATAATTATATTAGTTAAAAAGGTATTAATTAAGAGTAAAAAAATAAAAATCTAGACTGATAGTAGCATTTTAAGGGTAACTTCAGCAATTTTTTCCTAGAGATCCTGACAGATTGGTTGGGCTAAGAGTTACATGGTCTAAATTGGGTAATTTTAACAAATACCGTTTAAAATTGTACCATTAAAGATTTTTAGGTTTCAACATTAACCTATTGAATTTTACTCCTTTAGAGTGAGTAATTTGACAGATTATTACTGATAATTGACGAGCGTAATTTAACATATTATTATCTAAAATTTAATAAATTATTATCAAATAATAACCTATCACTAACAAAAGGTAGATTCAACACAGGTCCAACCAACTTCAAGCCCATAAAGCATCTCGTTATATTGCAATATTTGCAACACATTGGCACTGCAAAGTGGTACGATAGAAATTGATGAATTGGGTCTAGGGATATTATTTGTCTTTGAAGCTTTTCTTTTATCACTGTGGCATTTGCAGGCCCACGAATTCTGGGCATTTTTGCATGACTATTTGGGATGATAACAAAATCGTACTATATATGTATTTTTATCAAAACATGCATTTCACACCTTATATTTCAATAAATGTTACACTTATCTCTTGTGTTTTAGTTTCACGTTAAAATCTTGTCCTCTAACATACACATTTAGGATCAATCTAGAAGAATTTAACAATGAACTTATTACTCTTTCCTAATTTTGAATCTCAGAATTCTTCATGAATGACCAAGGTCGTTTCTACCATCCCATAACTAATTTAATTATTGTTAGCATTACTATACTAGTATTAGGCACGAGTTTCACTGGCTATAAAGATTTGTGTCAAGCATATTAATAATATGATAATTTTACAACCTTAAATAAAACCTCATAATTACAATTATGCATGAACTCAAAGTAACTGGCAAACTTGTGACCAAAGTTTTTACTGCCACCAATTTTCTCAAAAATAAAAATGAAAAAAAAATTGCATTAACATAATTTTATTATATGTTTTTCTTTGGCTTTGTTCGTTTCACCATTTGAATCACAACTCAAACTTTTTACTACAGTGTTTTTTTCTTAAAAAATTGAAATTCAACCTTTTTTTTATAGTATTTTTTATCACATAAATTCATTTTCCAACTCAAAATTCTCAACTCGTATGAGCGATACGAGTGAAACAATAGAGTGCGTTTGGTAGATAGATCCAGAATCATGATTCTAGATTATGGTTCAGAATCAGTGTTTGTTTACAGTGATTCTGAATCATAATTTTGAATCATGATTCAGAATCAGTGTTTAGTTTGGATGATTCTGAATCATGATTCAGAATTTGATGTGATAACTCAAATCATGATTTTAAAACCCCCCTCCTCTTGATTCAAGGTGATTCAAACCCCTAATTCTGAATCATGATTTGAACCCATAATTATGAATCATAATTTTGATTTTAAAATCATGATTAGAATCACCATGATTTAAATTCTCGTACTAAATGAATCCTAACTTATTTCTCTCTTTTTTAATTTTATCAAACTACGAGTCCGTTTAATTTACTGATTCGAGTTTTTAATTTAAATGTATATGTGATTTTATGTTATAATTTTTTATTGTAATAAAAAAATTAAATGTGATTATTTATAAATTTTATTTACTATAATAAAATTTAAATTATAAATTTAAATCGATAAATAAACAGTTGTACGTAGTCTACAAAAAGTAAAGAAGTGAGGTTTCTTTTAATTTTTGTATTACAAAGAAAAGACTTGTAGCTTTCTTTTCATAGAACTGTAATATATAACTCAAGTAAATGATATCCATCCATCACATCACCGTTAAAGGAGCACTACTTGAGTACTGCAACGCTCGTCGAAGGGGCTTGTTTTTGGTCAGCTCCCTTTCTCGTGAACTAATTTGCCATCTGATCATAATTCTATATCTATACAAAGAAAAGAATGGGTTTTTTAACCCTTTTTTTTTTTTTTTTTTTACTTACGTCGAATGTTATCGATGTGACAATATTTCGTCGATAACATCTTTGAAAATGATACACATGATATTCCATCATGATGGGAAGAATATATTGTTAGTAACTTCTTTATAGATGAAAACTGTTAAAGATCATCCATGTCAAAGAGTAATAGATTAAATGTGAAAGCGTATCTGAATTTTTTGAGTCTTATAGTTCTTAATCTTTTAAATTAATATGTACGAATTTTTTTAAAAAAAAGGCTCTTACTTTTATGATGATAGAATGTTAAAACAGAATCATACATATAATTTGAAGATCATAATCAACTGCACACTCTTTTTATTTTTAATTTTAACCCATCCTAAATTAGAAATTAAACATTAAGGTTTTTATACATAAAAGCCCATACTTTGTGAGATAAATTAAGGTTCCGTTCTTTTCGCTGATTTGAGTTTAGAATTTGAGTTTTGTTACAGTAAAAAGCTCTCAGAAACAGTCACATCAAACTTTTTTGTCACAGTAAAAAACTCTTACACAACATCACATCTCAACTCGAATTAGCAAACCGAACAAACTCATTTAATTTTAAATCTTATAAGATCACTTTTAATTTGACCCAAACTTTTATGATAGCATATAATACACAATTATTATTATTTATATATATATACACGTCCAAAAAATCTGACATATATGAGATAATGTTGAAATTTCAAGTTCCATTTTAACTGTAGGCATTCTTTTTGTCAGCCATTTTCACTTGTGTACAAGAAATTCTCTTCCAATGTTTGATTTACTAATCATATTAAATTCGCAGAATATTTTTATAATAATCCCCTCTCCATTTTTTCCTTTTTCCAACTAAAAATCTTCACCAAGAAAGTGCCTAGGAATTTACTAAAGTAGGCGTTCTTTGGATATATTTTGATGATTCCTAAAATCGCGCACAATCCCATGACATTGACGTTCTGACAAAATGTGGACAAAAACAAATATAGGTCACTCCTTCTTACAACTATATATGTATGTATAGACATCATTTTCAACTTGTGTGCTCATAACTTATCTTGAAAAGAATTCACTTTTTTATTTAGTCATATTCCAAGGATAGACATTTTCATAGTTACCAGCTAAATTTGTGTGATCATAATTTATATGACGGCTAAAACTGTGATCTTTCTTTTTCTTGTTATCATTATCATTTGCTGGAAAGCATGCTTAACACTATAGTCATAAGCCATCCCTTTAAATAAGTACGCGTTTTGTTGAAAACTAGTACGTCTTCTATAGTCCAAAATGTGTAGTACTATCTATAGTCGAGTGGAATTCAACTAAACCATCAGTTTGATTATCGATGATAATTGACGGTTTAGATTTGACTAGATCAGATTCTCTCTTTCACTCGTAATAAGTCGAAATTTGAACTAAAAAAACAAATAATTACTTTTGAGTAGAAAATTTGATCTGAAATTTAAATTTTTGAGTGAAGAAATAACGAACCCTTTGTAAAAATAACTCAATAGGAAAATTTTATTAGTAAAATAACTTTTTAAAAAATTTTATTTACAAAATGACTTTCTTTTAAAATATGACAATCTCTCCCCTCTCTCTCTTGTTCTTCTCTCGTGTTTTTAAAGAAAAACTCGCCCCATTTCTGAGAGACTCCCAGTAACACCAAAATCACACAGAGAGACGATTCTAGAGAGAGAAAGGGAGAATTTTAGAGAGAGAAAGTGAAGGGAAGGCGATGTTGAGATCTAGATCTCTCTCTGTGTTTGTCGCTGCGAACGAAGCCATGGCGAGAGCAGCTCTCACTCTTGAGCTATGGATCTGTTTCTCTCTCATCCCCTTCTCCTTCTTCCAGGAAATAAATAAAATTAAAATTAAAAAATTATTTTCCTAATTTTATTTTTTTACTTGGTTATTTTAACCAAATTCTCAGAAATAACGTAGTAAAAAAGTTAAATTGTGATTGAAACCTATTAAAAGAACGGGATAACGTGTTTGACATTAGAGTTGTGCCCGTCAAATTAAATTACACAATATTATTCCCAATTCACAATCACCAAAAAATTAAAATGAAAAAAAAAATTGCGCCAATCTAATATATATGATGTTGGAGATAGAACTCTGGTCGCCAACTTAATCAACTTAATAATTTAGCATAAAATATGTCAATATATACATTTGTAAGTTTCTTGACGTGGAATCTAAAATTAATCCAAGGTTATAAACATTTAGTACCGTTATATATATATATATATATAGACATAGAGAGAGAGAAAGCTTTAGAACAATTAAAAGGCAATTCGAAATGATCTTTAAGTA